GCCGCTACCTGACGGTGGCCGCCGTCTTCCGGGGCCGCATGTCCATGAAGGAGGTGGACGAGCAGATGCTGAACGTGCAGAACAAGAACAGCTCCTACTTCGTGGAGTGGATCCCCAACAACGTCAAGACGGCCGTGTGCGACATCCCGCCCCGGGGGCTGAAGATGGCCGTCACCTTCATCGGCAACTCCACCGCCATCCAGGAGCTCTTCAAGCGCATCTCCGAGCAGTTCACCGCCATGTTCCGCCGCAAGGCCTTCCTGCACTGGTACACGGGCGAGGGCATGGACGAGATGGAGTTCACCGAGGCCGAGAGCAACATGAACGACCTGGTGTCCGAGTACCAGCAGTACCAGGACGCCACGGCCGAGGAGGAGGAGGATTTCGGCGAGGAGGCCGAGGAGGAGGCGTGAGAAGGGGGGGTTGGTTTTTGTCCCATGATCATCCCCTTCCTTCCCCCACCCTTTCTGTGTGTGATGTCAGAGAGCTGTCGGCCCTCGGTGTCATCGTCGTCGTCGTCATCGTCGTCCTTGGTGGCAGCGAAGTCCTCGCCCGTCCTCCTCGTCGCCATCGTCATCGTCGTCATCATCGTCGTCTCCCTCGTCTTTGTTGGCGCCCAGGAGGGTCCCCAACGTTCATCATGGTCAATGGAGAGTCCCCAACCCTTGTCATGGTCAATGGAGAGTCCCCAACGTTCATCATGGTCCATGGAGAGTCCCCAACATTCATCATGGTCAATGAAGAGTCCCCAAAGTCAATGGAGAGTCCCCAACGTTCATCATGGCCAATGAAGGGTCCCCAACGTTCATCATGGTCAATGAAGAGTCCCCACAGTCAATGGAGAGTCCCCAATGTTCATCATGGCCAATGAAGGGTCCCCAAAGTCATTAGAGGGTTCCCAACCTTGACCATGGTCAATGGAGAGTCCCCAACATTCATCATGGTCAATGGAGAGTCCCCAACGTTCATCATGGTCAATGAAGGGTCCCCAACGTTCACCATGGTCAATGGAGAGTCCCCAAAGTCATTGAAGAGTCTCCAACTTTGGCCATTGTCAATGGAGAGTCCCCAACATTCACCATGGTCAATGGAGAGTCCCCAATGTTCATCATGGTCAATGGAGAGTCCCCAACGTTCATCATGGTCAATGGAGAGTCCCCAACGTTCATCATGGTCAATGGAGAGTCCCCAACGTTCATCATGGTCAGTGGAGAGTCCCCACAGTCATTGGAGGGTCCCCAACCTTGTCATGATCAATGGAGAGTCCCCAAAGTCATTGGAGAGTCCCCAACGTTCATCATGGTCAATGGAGAGTCCCCAACATTCATCATGGTCAATGGAGAGTCCCCAACCTTGGCCATGGCCAATGAAGAGTCCCCACAGTCAATGGAGAGTCCCCAAGGTTTATCATGGTCAATGGAGAGTCCCCAACCCTTGTCATGGTCAATGGAGAGTCCCCAACCTTGGCCATGGTCAATGGAGAGTCCCCAAAGTCATTGGAGGGTCCCCAACCTTGACCATGGTCAATGGAGAGTCCCCAACGTTCATCATGGTCAATGGAGAGTCCCCAACCCTTGTCATGGTCAATGAAGAGTCCCCACAGTCAGTGAAGAGTCCCCAACGTTCATCATGGTCAATGGAAGGTCCCCAACCTTGTCATGGTCAATGGAGAGGCCCCACAGTCATTGGAGGGTCCCCAACCTTGTCATGGTCAATGGAGGGTCCCCAACGTTCATCATGGTCAATGAAGAGTCCCCACAGTCAATGGAGAGTCCCCAACGTTCATCATGGTCAATGGAGAGTCCCCACAGTCAATGGAGAGTCCCCAACCTTCATCATCCCCACCCTCCTCATCCTCAACCTCTTGGGCTTCGTCCCCCACCTTGAAGAGCTTCGAGGGGAGTCCTTGGCCTTCGTCATCATCATCATCATCATCCTCCTCTTTGGAGAGCCCTGGACCTTCATCAGGAGAGTTTTGGACCTTCATCATCATCATGGATCTTCATCTTCCTCATGGAGAGCCCCTGGACCTTCATCATCCTCCTGGACCTTCATCATCCTCATGGAGAGCCCTGGACCTTCATCATCATCCTGGACCTTCATCATCATCCTCCTGGACCTTCATCAGGAGAGTTCTGGACCTTCATCATCCTCTTGGACCTTCATCTTCATCCTGGACCTTCATCATCATCCTGGACCTTCATCAGGAGAGTTTGGGACCTTCATCATCATCCTGGACCTTCATCATCCTCATGGA